GTATATCATATATATATATACATAAAAATTTATTATAAAAGTCATAACACTTACCTACTTTATAAATCCGAAGAATTCCAAAATGAAATGTTTTTCGTTTGAAATTTTTATTCTCAAATAATATATGCATAGATTATCCCTTCATTATTTTGAGATGACATACCACACAATAAAATTTTATAAATGTAAGATCACGATATGAATTTCAATATGTGACTTAAAAACAGAATAGCTGAATTCCAGATGAAAATAATTATTCAAAATTAAGAAATACTTAACAAGAAAACGGCAAAAATGTATTAATAATCAACGCAGATGATAGCATTTCAAATAATTCAGATGATTCTTTATTATTATTTTCCGAATTACATGGGTATAGAAATATTTATTATTCTATAAAGAAGAAGGTTATTCTACAACTATTACAGCTCTACACTTCTGAAATAATATTTATTCATTGGAATGAAGAAAGCAAAGAGTGCACTAAAATAACTTCACTTTAACTTATAATGAATTGAGGACAAAAAATGTATTTTACCGTAATACACACATCTGTAAAAGTATGCGATCACGAAATTGAAACTTTTCGGTTGCAAGTGTTTCAGAATGATTTACCAATGTTCGTTGCTTCAAGTTCTTCAGCCTTTTTGTTTGGGAAATTTTGCTTTTTATTTGCTGCTGAAAAAAAAAAACGTCTTACTCTACCAATGATTCTAGTAGGACTAAATGAAAACTTAATAAATTGTTGTCTGAAAATATCCACCCCGCTAGAGGGCGTATTCAAGAGTTGCGATCGCTAAAGCTTCCGTACTTTCAAATTTGTTACAGAAAATTGTAAAAAATGTACAGTGGATGAGAAATATGTATACAAATTATAGTGATTTTTATTATAGTTATTTATATTACATACAATATAGTTATTATAGTATTCGAATTTATTTATTATGTACTAATCTTATTTAAAATTCACCATTTTTTTAAAGGAAAAATTGCAAAATTTTGCTAAAAAGCAGTTTTTTTTCCTTCTTTTTTTAATACAAAACATTTTTTTTACTAAATATTTTTAAAGTATTAAAACGTAGGTATATAAAATTTTATAAAAATTAGGCGATAATTACACTAAGTACTTATACTTATGACCGAAAAGACACAAAGATTTGGAACAGATAAATTTTCAAGTTTTATTTCAAAATAAGTTGTGCAAGAAACTACATTTATTTAATAAATTTTTTATAAGAAAGAATAAATTTCTTGGAAATGCATTCATAAAATATCTTGGCAAATGTTTATAAGAAAAGTTATAAAATATCTGGGTAAAAATTATCTTTGAAATCAGAAATCTAATTTAATCACAGATTTAAACACATTCTATTCGAATGTTCGAATCGCTTTCACCAGCAAACTGTTAGGTGAAAGACATCAGATAGTTAGGAGGGAAAATGAAGATGCTGATCTCTCAAAGACTAGATATCCTTATCCCTAGACATATCCTTGATAGCAATGAAAAATGACGTCATTTTGAAGTCTTTTTTACACCAAGGGAAAACCTGTAACCTCTCGCCTTCGATAGAAAAATGACGTCATTTTGACGTCACGTTTCTACACCTAGGGAAAACCAGCCTCGCGTTTTCGAACGGATTTGGCTAACGGACTGTGATCTTCATTTTATGTCTTTCACCTAACAATTTGCTGGTGAAAGCCATTCGAACGTTCGAATAGAATGTGTTGAATACTGTGATTAAATTAGACTTGTGATTTCAAGGATAATTTTTATACAGATATTTTATGACTTTTTGTAACCGCGATATTTTATTAATATATTTCACAGAAATAATATTTTCTCACACAAATTTATTGTTTCATACAATAAATCGATTAAATAAATTACTTTCTTGCTCAACTTATTGCGAAATAAATCGTGAAAAATTTTTTTCTCTCCAAATTTTAATGTATTTTTGGCATTATATGTTTAGTATAATTATCGCCTTATTTTATTAATTTTTTTACCTACCTCGTAATATTTTTAAATTATTTAATATAAAAATATACTTCGTAGTTAAAAAAATTAAAAAAATTATTTTTTAGTAAAATCCTGCAGTTTTTCCTTTAATAAAAGTGAAAAAAAATTGACCAGTTATAAATGAGAATGGTACATAATAAATAAATCATATTACTGTATGTACTTATTCATGTATAATTTTCTGTGAGAAATTTGTAAGAATGGAATCTTTTTCAATAAAATAATTTTCGAAATTATGTTAAAGTTTCTGATAACTTCAAATGCATAATTAAGAAACATATTTTCATTTTTTTCCTTTATTTTTCTGTTCACCTTGTGAATCTAAATAACAACGCCAAACGGTACAGCAGATGCGAAAATTTTCTTTTAAATAAAACAATGCAAAAAGATATTTTTGCTCTCATATCTATAAAACCGTAATAAAATGGATAAATTTTTTATTTAAATATGTCATATTTTAGTAAATTAAAATTTCCAAACACAATTCTAAAATTTCTGTTAAAAATTGTATATCAATTCTTGAACAAGAAAAACTTTTTAGTTATTTCTTAAACTGTTGTTTGACATTTGACCTTTTAAATTTTTTGCTTAACAAAATGGTAAATTACAGAACCATTATTATTAATTAGTGAACAAAAAAAAAAGCAGTAGCACAATGTTTTTTTTCTTCTCTGTTTTGAGATTCTTTATTAAATATCGGCTAAGTTATTCTAAAGATACTCAGTTAAAGTCATTTGTTATTATTAAACTGACGTTATTTGGCTTTATTCAAATAATATTTTAGATTATCCTAATGAATGCGATCTATTCTTCTTCAAAAAGTTTTTAATTTATCTATGCGACACGTGAAAAAAAAGTTTCTTCGAATAACTTTTTCATAATTCATTTGCATACACAATGTAATATGCAATACGGGAAAAAAAAACGAGTGGGACTATTTCGTAATTGAAAATTTCTTTAATTAAAACTATTGTAAATATTTCCTTAGTATTTAACTACTAACACGGATTTGTAACATAAAGAATCGCAAATAACTTCTATGGCAATACCAAAAGCGATGAAATTGTATATCTAAAAATTCTAACTTAAAATATTTCAATAAAAAATAAATTGCGCCTACTTGGCAGACTTGTTTTCTGAGTTGGGTTCAATATAAGAGGGTAATAAAAAAACTTAATATGAAGAACAGAAACTTTTTCAATATTATCATTTTTGAATGAAAGTTTTAGATGCATAATTAAGAAACCTATTTTTTTAAATTTTTTATTTTTATTTTTCTGTTCGTCTTTTTCGGTTGTCTTTTTAAGTTTTCTTGGTGATAAACTATTCAAATTATTGGTGTTTGTATAGTAATCAATCACTATTTGTTGAAAAAAATGCATATTTTATACAATAGAATATATTTATTTTAAAAAATATATAAGGTAATGTTGTTTATTTTTAGCTTTTTTTTTAAATACAATTTTTAAAAAAGTAAGAATCTCTAGCTGGAGCTCAATTTTCTTGTAATTAATGAAAAGAATTGGAGATCAAAGATAATTCAAAAGTCATTATGGAGAAATCTTCAGAGGAAGGCATTGCCCCACACTGGGCTATCTGGCCAACTATGATGATTATGATGAAGATTCTCAAGACCCCTATGCACTGCCCTAGTGTGCCCATGCTTAAAGCCGGTACTGAATTGAATGGTTATTTACTTTGTATTATCTTGAACAATATCTTATTAAAATCTGTTCTGGAGATGAGCAATCCAATCAAAAAATTATCCTTATAAAGTGGGTACTGAATTGAATGGTTATTTATTACGTATTATCTTGAACCAAGTCTTATTAAAATTTGCTCTAGGAGATGAGCGATCCAATCTAAAAATTCTCCTTATAAAGCGGGTACTGAATTGAATGGTTATTTATTTTGTATTATCTTGAACCTAGTCTTATTAAAATCTGCTCCGGAGATGAACGATCCAATCTAAAAATTCTCCTTATTTTGATTTCTAGTGTAATTACCTCAAACTGTCTTTTGCAAAACTGAAATTAAAAGCCATTCAATATGGGTTAAAATGTACTGCGACCTACACATCAAAACTCCAATTTTTTCTTTTCTAAGTTTTAATGTTAAGAATTTTTTTTTCTTTCTGTCTAGCCAAAAAGCGGGCATGGCCTATCAGCAGAAAATGCCTTATATGTGACACTTGATGTCGTATAATATACGAGTAAAACAGTTTGACAAATGTTTAATATTTTTTAAAAAATATTGCAACCAACGTTAATATTCAAT